GTATTAGCAGCAATATCGGTTACATGGATATCAGATGATAACCGAATTAAATAACAATGCTGATGTTGCTTCCCAACCCTAGCATCATGTACAGGGTTCTTATGACCCACGGATATACAAGGATCCTACTGTTTCACTTGGGGCTGCCTCTAGGGTCCCTCCCTCATTGTCAGATTGCGACTACTGTAGACACCTGATTAACAACACCCTCTCTTCCAATCGGGATCCTCATATTAAAGCCCTTAATTAGAGGGGGGTACATTAGTCACGGGTCTACGTTAGCTTGCAAAATGCTATTCCTCAAAGGTCCATAGTTATACTGTAGCATACCCCAAAACCCCACTCTAACTTCTGAAATCAAGGCCGGTATTAATTAAGGCCCCTTCTACGATAAACCCCCAAAGTTGCCTTTTACATTAATTGAAAAGAGCCCTGGAAGCCTTACTTTACCCGAAGAGCCGTCTTGATCCAGGCGGTGCCGTGCCGTCGAAGGACCGGAGCTTGCTGAGCCGCGAGCTGGCGAAGCTCTTGAAGCCCGAGGCCGAAGGGTTTAGGGGTTAAGCTTGAAGGTTTGAGGTTTAGGGTTTAGGGCTTAAGGAAATGAGCACCATAAGGGCTGCTATCATTCATATTACAACGAATATTTTCTGAAAGGGGTTTGTTCAGGGGGTCGAAAGGGTTCCTTTAAGGGGTAGTATACTTCATATCGAGCCCGAACGTTTGCGGTTTAGGGTCTGGGGCTTTCGGGCTGTTGGGGGGGTTTAGGGTTGAAGGTTCAGGGAAGTGGCCTCACCAGTTAGAAGAGGTTTCATTTTGCAGGTGTCTATAAGCAAGGTTTACTACAAGGGTTTCATATGGAGGCCGAAGGATTGGGGCCTTTGTTGGTTTAGGGTTTGGGGATTGGGTCAAGGGACTTTGGGCTTTTGAGGGTTCAAGGTTCAGGCACGTGGCTTCAATACTTAGAATCTGCGGTTCCTTTACCTATACGGGTTAGTATAAGGTTTTTTCTTGATATGGGTCTAAGGATTTAGGGCTTTTGGTGGTTTAAAGTTTAGGTACGTGGCCTTAATACGTAGAACAGTGCCTTCCATAAGTAAGGTTTACTATGGAAGGGTTACAAGGGTATGAACATGTACCAATATAGTTTCCGAAGGATTTGGGAAAGGGATTTTTTGAGGCTACATATACGGAGCCTTAATAATTAGAGCAGGTGCCTCTAGAGGGTTACATCCAGGGGTCTACACGAGACTTTGGGTATACGCGCTAAACTTAGACAACAACCCCTTTCACAGGGTCGATAATTATCCCCTAAACCCTAAACCCTAAACCCTAAACCCTAAACCCTAAGGGGAAGGTTCAGGATTTAGCACGTTGACATTCAGGACTAGGGATTCAGGGCTTTTGGGGGTTTAGGGTTTAGAGGTTGACGTTAGGGAGGGTGGCAGTTTTTGTATTAGAATAAGGTTCATTTCAGGGTTCTTTCTTTGACGGAGTCTGTGAGGTTCACTACAGGGGTATGAACGTAGGAACAGGGCATATTCTAGCACAAGTATAATAAGGAAACTTCGAAATAATGATACTCAATATGCAGGCTTCTATATAAGACAGTTGGTGTTTAGGGCATTGGGAACGAGTAGGGTTTTTTCGGTTGAGTGTGTTGGTTTCGAGATGCCTCTCAGCAGGCGCAGCCAGTAAGTCCGGTTTCAACAAAATCGGGTTGGGCACCGGGTGTATGCCTTATAAGGCTCAAGAGTTTAAGTGCATAAGGTCCGAAAGCTCTCAGCTTGAAGCCCCCTGCCAAAAAGCTTCGAAGCCCCCAAAGTAAAGCAGAAAGGCGAAAAGAGTGAATATAAGGGGCCTTAACGATTAGAATGGTATATTATACTGTAACTATAATGAGGAACCCCAAAACCCTATTCTTATTCTTAAGGCCCCTACATGGTCCGGCACAGGCCCAGGAGCAAGCCTTGGAAGCAGCATCCTGGCTTCCCAAAGAGAAGGCCCGGTTGCCGAAGACCCTTGTCCTGCAGGACAGAGGTTCGGTTTAGGGTATAGGGTTTAGGGAAAAGGGTTTGATGAAAAAAACGGAAAAGGGTTTAAGGCTAAGGTTTCGGGCTTGGCTTCTGGAAGTAGCCTTTTTCTTGTTTTGGTTATACGTCTTCTACGATGATGCCCTGCTGAACTTCACCTTGGCTAGCTATCTCCTCCGCCTGCAACTGGAAAGTAGTTGATAGAAAGTCCACTACTTTTCATAACCACTCCCAAACCTCCAGAACATCAGCCGAAACTAGCCTCGGCCGCCCTGTTTCCGGTTGTTCGGCATTGTGCCTACACAGAAGTGCCGACCTTGACGTGATGCATGTTTTTATCACTGCATCCGAGGATTCAGTGGCACGAGTCGAGCCTTGGAGTAATTTCTCTGCTTCTCACCACTGCTGTGCTTATTGCCTGATGTACGAAGGACCGGCTGAAGGGCGACTTCCACAAACAATAAAACACTAATTATAGTAACATACTATACACAGCAGCATAACAAGAGCTTCTTCTAATGTCATGATTATATAGCAATAGAAGATTCTGTGGCCTCATTGCAGTCTGGATTGCACCCGCAGCTGTCTGAGGAGTGCTACTTCGGCGTCGTCGTCAGTGGAGGATGCGATGAATCCGCTGCCGACCCCCGCAACTCAGTTAGACTTACTGCGCATGTTGGTTGTCAACGGCTGCTCTCCTGACATCACTGCCTTACCGCTTGTCGCTGACCCGCTTGCGCTTCTACGTTTACGGTTTCATACTGAGGCGCTACCAAGCCACATGCGCTTCGCGCTTCACCAAGTCGAAGCCGCAAAACCGGAAGGCGGGCTTGCACAATGGCTTATCTTCTTCTTTGCCTGCAACTTCCCCACGTGTGCTACGGACTTCACTTGAAAGCACTGGCGAGTCGGCTCGGGCTCTCGGAGACTTCGGTGTGGAATGGGGTCAGGGATTGAGGTGACAGGTGCCAGGTTGTCCCAAATTGCAAAGTTCAATTTTAGCCTCAGCGAACGTATCATCGCGGGAAGGCAGAACCCCGCATTGTGCCGAAATTTAATCATGCTCCACAGACTTGTCACCGTTCTGTGAGGCAAAGAGAACCAGACAGCGCATCTCAGCAGCATGCAAGCCTCCCATTGCCAGATGTGGCTGTGATTCGGCACTCCACTCAAGGAGGAGGGGTTTGTTGAGAAATGCGTACAGCTGGATGCCTCCCTCCCTGTTGAGATTGAGGATTTCGTGCTTGTACAAGTCGTCTGGAGTCTTGTCTGTGCATGTGCAGTCGTTTTCACTGTCCGGGCTTGACTAGCGTGACGACTGTTTCTACGTCTCCGGCTTCACCTCTCAACTACGACGAGGCGACTCTATGTCTCTATACCCTTGGTGCCAAATTTGTCTGCCGACCGTAAGAGTCGAAACATCGCCAAATCCCACAGCCCCCCAAACCCCAAAACTTGACCCCTTGCTGCACCCTCAACCCTGCAACGAACGGTGCCTCAGCAAGTCCACTCTCCAGCCAACACAAGCAAAACCCTAAACCTAAACCCCACGCTCGAAACCAAAGAGAACCTAAACCCTTTAAGCCTGAAGCCCTTGACGGCCTTAACGTTAATTAAAGTGCTCCCTGCAGTGCGACTTAGTCAGCGGCAGAACAAGTATTCATCGTCAGGTCGCCAGGTAAGGCCGAGGAGACCAGAGAAGCCCCGGGAGGACAAGGCTGATCTGAGTTCATGCGATTCATGTAGGCTTCGAAATAGTTTTTTTTTAATCAATATCCCCTAATATATCCTAATATAAAGATTAGTTATTTTCATCATCCCCTGAATATAGTTATTATCAATATCCCGTTAATACTACGCAGCATCGACAACAGCATGAGCAACACAGCCACAGACCCATAGAGTTGCACAGCAGGCTTGTGCCACTGTATTGATTCCGGTCGGAAGGATGTCAGTTGGGACGCATGACAGGGTAACACGGTATCCTAGACAGGTATTACGTAGAGTCCCCGAGATCCAAAACCCCTAAACCCGAAATCCTAAGTTCAATGCAGGGTCGAAGCCGTCGACCCCGAAGGCTTGCAAGTGTCGTCTTTTTCTGATTAGGGGCCTCAGAAGTGCAGACAGGCTTCGCCGGGTGTTCTCAAGAGTTTCAGAGATTCGGTACATCGTGTGGAGTTTCATGCAACGCGGGGTGATTGAAATTTAATCGACCGTCTTCTTGCAGTCGTACATCTTGCATGGGTACCTCCGACAAACTTCACAACACCCCTAGGTCCAGTACTCCGTTTTTTGAAAAAGGCCCTGCATCGGGATCCGCCGCGTTGCATCCAACACCCTTTGATCAAGCGTCCATGGTGCGCCTTCTGACAGATACGGGCTCCTTGTGGGGCTGTTGCCCTGAATCCGCCAGAACTAGCAAAGCCTAGCGCGAGTACCCTGAGCTGAAGATTTGTGGGCTCGGGTTTGTCGGGCAGGAGCCAGCCCTGAGCCAGCGCACCTCGGCACAACAGTGGCACCAGCAGATCCCTGCAGTTTCGACCTGGGCGTTCCAGCAGAAAGGGAGGAGCACTCATTCTCAAGAGGGGCACTCGTTTTTTTTTAAGTCAAGGCCTCGGCACCATTCGTAGCCCTAGCCCTATACCTAACAACCCTGAGGCTCAGCCGCCAGAGCTCTAAGACCAGGAGAGACTCAGTGCCATGGACGCATCCATGGTTGTGGTTGTGATCATGTTCAGTGTTAGTGTCAATTGCAGCCTTATGGCTATTTTCATTGTGATGATTCATACCATTGTCATTGTCATTGTTAGAAGCATTAGTTTGTTATTCGTATTTCGTGGTCCCTCGCTTCTCTCAAGCTCTGGCCCTCTAGCCGCAGTGGAAAGCCCTAAACCCTAAACCTTAACCGACCAGTTAACCCCTACTTCAGAATCCCTAAACCCCAAACCCTTGCTACAGAATCTCTGAACCCTTACTACAGAATCCGAGCTTCAAAGGGCTCCGTCTTCGATGGCCGCCTCGGGGCGGAGCTGCAACGCGCATTGGACTTCGGCCGCTGCGAGGCCCGGACAAGGATTCCGATGAGTTTAGGCTTTAGAGGTTAAGGGTTTGGGGGTTAAGGGCTTAGGGTGTTGGGGTTTCGGGATCTAGAGGTTCAGGATTTGGGGATGTTTGGGGGTTTAGGGATTAGGGTGTAGAGTGTAGGGGTTCTTCGGAGTTTTGGGGGTCAAAAATTTGGGGTTTTAGCCTGCAGGCTTCACGGACCAAAAAACCACATGGAGGTCAACTCAACTATCGAACCTTATTGTTACCCGGTTTGGGATATACATCTTAAATTGCATTAAACCGCTGATTTTCAAGTCGCTTCTTTGCCTTCTATAGATCCGTGCTTTGGTGTGTGCTTGCAATTCGGGTTTTGGGGTTCCGGCTCTTGGATTTGGGTTCTAGAGCTCGGAGCTTGGATTTTCCTTTTGGCGGAAGCCAGCTCAGAGTCTCAGAATGCCACAAGACTGGGTTCTTGTTGAGGAGTTTAATTTAAGTTACCATAATAGGGGTCTATAGTATTTTTTGGGGTTTCTTTATTGTGGTAACTAAAGATAAATCTCTTAACTTCCTTAACAAGAACCCAGAAAACCGCACCACTCCCATTGCCACTTGGCTTTGCCGCCACGCATCTGTTCGGGCCTCCTGAGATGCAGACGGTGGAAGGGCCCAGCCAAAAAGTGCTGCGAAGACATGAATTGTGGATTACAAAAAATGCATCCAGCCAGTAGACATAATTGGGGGCGAAGTTAGCGAGTTGATCTGACAATAGCCTGCAGTGCCTGGAAGGCTGCTCGACGAATACAGCGAGCCTACCGACAACATCGGCGCCTCCAGATGGTCTTGGCACAAGCAGAACAAGCCCGTTCAAGTGCCTTGCTACACAATGGAGATACGCAGCTCTTCTGCTTCCGCCTCACTATGTGTGTTTTAGGTATGTATGTATGTATGTATGTATGTATGTATGTATGTATGTACCGACATAACGCACCTGTATGTTTATTAATGTTTCTAGTACACATTTATTTGTGCGTACATACATACATGTGTATATGCATACACACTTAGTATACGTATAGAGAGAAAGAGAGATTAGTCTCAAGTTGTGATCAGCAAGCAGCAGTCAAACAAACAGATAGTTCAACAAGCAAGCACAGGAAGGAACAAGCAAACAAACAGCAACAAACACACGCACCGCACGTGTACACACACACACACACACATCACACATCACAAGCACACGAAGCGACACGCACACACACACACAGACACACAGACACACAGACACACAGACACACAGACACACACACACACACAGACAGAGTCTCTGGCTTGAGCCCTGGATCGCCTTTGTCTCACAAGGCCTCGTTCGGAATGCGAAGATCCTCACTAGGGACTCAGTACATCCACAATTAGAGACTTCCGTCGATGTTAAGGGATAAGATTTCGGGTTCACATGCCGCAACCATCCAGCGACATGCAGGCATGTGCTCTGTTTATACTTTCTATGCAGATATTTGCCTTCAGTGTAGCAGAGTGCTTGACGACTTCTTCCTGCAATGCTGTAGCAAAGTCAACAAGGAAGGGCAGAAACGACAGCGACCGCGGCTTCGGGCGCAGGCAGACCGATGGGTTGTGAGTGGGATCCCGGACCTCGCCAGAGGCAGTAGAAGCAAGTTTAAGGTGAAGCACAGCTACAGTCGTCCTTGTCTGTAGTGGCAGTGTGAGCCGCAGTAGCTGCAGGAGGAGATGGAGGGGATGTGGCGTGGGTGTGGGCTAGCAGGGGGAACAGCATCGTAGCTGTAACATCAGCAGGAAAAATGAGCGACGCTACGTGCACTTCATTGAGCTCCCTATCATTGTGTTTCTGCCGCATATCTCCTCGCCGTGGAAGGCCCGCCACAGGCGAGCAGCGCGACGGCTGCCACGAATTTACCCAGGCATCGGCAACTATATTATAGAGCATTTCTCCTGGTAGTTGGTCTTGACGGGTTAAGAAAGACTCTGAACTCGTCGTCGACTCGTCGTCAGCTTCTCCAGCCAGAGCTGAGACATTGGCTTGTGAGGGTCCCCAGCTTTTCCTTTCCTCCTCCTTTTTGGTCTTCAGGGGCTACGCTTTAGTTTTGGGAGGAATGCTTCAACACTTTCCGACAGGGAATGTCCACGCAGGAGACAGCCGATTCAGAGCCCTCTGCCGGGCTTCAGCCCGACTGGTGTTCCTTTCAATGCGGCACCTCTGTGTGCAAGGTTTGAGGTACCAGGTAGCACAGGGCTGGTGCTGAATATTCAGCGGGTTGCACAGCAAGAGCAGAAACTGATCATACAAGTAGAAGACTACAGCGACACCACTTGTGTGCAAAGCTGTTGTGCGACGGAGGCCGTCGATACCTGGCCGCATGCCACGGCCCCGGGGAGCAGCAGACCGAGACCTGCAAGGCAGGCGATGTATACCTTGAGGGTTTAAGGGCTTAGGGTTTATACTGGTCATATAAGGGGGCTTTCGACATGCCGTGAGGCTGTTGCAGCTCTTCATTCTAGTAGCGGTTTAGGGGTGGAGTCGCTGTTGAAATTAGGTCAAAGGTGGTCAGGGTCCCATTGTTATATCACTGCGGGTGCCATTTAGGGTTCGCAGCACGCTAAAAGTAGGTGCTTTGCAGGGTGACAGCCTTGGGTGCATTTTCTGCATGTGCTTGGTATCGACTGAAGAGTCCTTGGGGTTCTTATGCGACGGGCGAAAGGGTGAAAGCATCCATTTCGGACTGATAGGATGCACGTGCTACTGTACCCAGAGGTTTCTTGCGGGATGAGTACATCGCTCCAGGCACACCGGGAAGTAATTGACCCGCTCTGCTCAAAGCAGCACCTAGACATCATTATTGGCTTGTCTGTTCATCATCATTGCCGTGTGCTCGGTTGTTTCATTGCCACCAGGCATCATCATACGGGTAGCGATAGCAACCAGTGCAAGAAATGTGGGAGAAACCAGGCTGCCGGAGGGTAAAGTTTTGGGTGATGAGATCGGCATGTATTGGCCTCCAGTCTCTTACATAACATCTGTTGCAATGTTGCATAGTTCTAGTTAGTTTCTTTCACATTTCACAATCGCAATGATAACCCATCAGGGTCTCATGAACGATGTCTCGCTGTCGCTGTCAGGGCTGCCTCGCCGTAGCTTGCCCAACCTCGGCACCCAAGCTGCTCGGAACCGTTTCAGGTTTAGGGGTTGTGTTTCTTGGAGTTTTAGAGTTCAGAGAATGGAGAGGGAGAGAGAGACAGAGGGTGACAAGGAGTCTGCTTCTGGCTGCTTTGATGTTCATGCCCACTTGACTTCGCGTTTGTTGTTGCTGCTGGCGCCGTCGTGATGGCGGCTGTTGCTGTTGTTGTACGTAATGCTGGTTGCTACCAAAAATTAAACTTCCTTCATGTAGAAGACTTTTCCTTGATCCACCGGCTGGACGCATGCTAGAATGAGATTTCTGATGTCCTTTTGTTATCTTCTCAAGATTGACAATTAAGAACCCAACACAAAATCCTCGGCGAAAACCAGGCACCGCATTTTCCAGAATAAACCTTGAACACAAAACGCACTATGGACGCTCACTTAACACAACCGAGCACGACATTAACATTCAAAGAGATCAATCATTCTAATATGTATGATTTGCAGGATGCTGGTATGTATAGTGCTTGCCTCACCACATTCTTATTCCTTATGCAAAACGAATCCCACCTATATATATATATATATGTATATATATATATATATATACATACATACATACATATGAATACGTATACTGCGTTGGGGGATTCAATTAGCCGGTACATTAGCCATGGGTCAATCTATATCACAACTGGGGGCAGTTTCTCCGTGCCGACCGTCTCCTTTTCAAGATTTCTCAAGGCCACCCTGGTGACACTTCCCCGAAAGATGATAGCTAGTAAGTCCGAATAGCAGCAACAGTCACAAGACAGACACGTCGTGTCTCATCGGCTGAGGACCAGCACTCCGGAGACCTGAACACCGGGAAAGCACATCAATACTGATTTGCAGGAGCCAATGTCCCCTCAAGGCCCTATGAACCTATGTACATAGATTTTAAACTCACAACCTTGGCATCCTACCGGAGATTACCACAAGCGCATGCCCGAGAGAGGGAATGTATCCTTGGGTTTCATGCTTCAGGGTTTTTGAAAAAGAAAGAGTGTGTTCGTTTGTGGGTTTGTTTTTGCTTGATTGTGGCCTCAGAACGAGGGCTCCAGTCTGGACCCGAAACTTGGAAAGGGTTTGCAATGATTGCAACGTCTAAGAAACGTCCAAAAGAAGAACTCAGAGCCTTTCGTCGAAGGTCGGGCCGGCAGTGGCTAGCCAGCAGCAGACTCGTCGTGAGGGAGCTCTACCGCGTGATCGCGCCTGGGTTGGACAAAGTCCTGGGGGTTGTCTTGGGGTCTTGGAGTTCGCTTGCTCGAACCTCGGGGCTTTTGATTGTGACTGTTCCGGGTTATAAGCTTAAGGCGTGTTGGGGAGGGATCCGGATTCTTGAGGTTTGAGCCGCTAAGCTGAACAATCAAAGCAGCGCAAAAAGCCAGGTCTTGTGTAATGTACCTGGGACGAAGATGCCCCGAATGATCCCAACCCTCTTGCAACCCCCATAAAATCCTTCGCATAGATAAAGCAACATTAGAAAACGCTACCAGACCCGGATTATAACCAACTGCAAGCGCTAAACCCTAAAACCCCGTCGCTCCTAGCCATGGGCGAGGGAAAAGCCCCAAAACCCTCAAGCCGCGCCGAAACCCCAAGCCCCGAAGCCCTAAACCCTAAACCCCTCAAGTGTGCGAGAGTGAGAGTCGAAACCCCGAAGCCCTAAACGCAGCCTCCTTTGACACTGGGAATCCCAAGGGGCTGCCTCAGATCGCCGAGAGGAGGCTCCGGAGGCAATTCCACGTCGTAAACTTCGGGCCTTTCAGAGAGAACAAATTGTAGGGTCCCTTTAAAGCGAAATATAGAGTGCCTTTAGGGGGTCCTCTATAAGGGGTTCCGTAAAGGAGCCCTGAAAGGAGTCCTTGAGGGGATCCGCAATATAGGGGCCTCAGAACAGGGCTTTGGAATTGGCTTCTTGGCAAATAGTAGCAGTCTGCAACGGGAGAATGTTGATCAGATTGTCTTGTACTGACCAGAATCAGTTTGTTACGTGTGCGGTCTCCTTAACTCCCCCGCTAAGGTTAGCTGAGGGGCAGGCTTGGCCCATAGTTCGCATTTTGGGCAAGAGGTGCAATAATAAGAGTAATACTGTAGTAATTGCAGCAGCAATAGTGCAGTAATTAATCCGCCACTGCAAGCGGCATATTCTCTGAGAGGAATGCCAATCAGTCAGTCAGCAGATGTGTTCAAGCGGATGCCCAACAGGCCCTGCGGAGACGCAGAGCTGCTGCTGCCGGGACCATTCAGGCTGGATTGGCCTAGCAGATGTTTGTTTTGAAACTTATCATTTTGACAAAAATCCCTGCCGTGAAGGGCGTTGGCATGTATAGGGGTCAGCAATCAGAAGGTGCATTATCGTCCTCAAATCCGAACCCCTGGTTCTTAGCTCTCTTCAACCCTATAAACGCTGAGCCCGAAGCCCGAAACCCTATTAATAAACCCAAAGCCCTAAACCCTACCCCCAAAGGCAGAAAACACTCAACAACCCCAAGGCCCAAAACCTACCCCTAAACCCCCTAAACCCTAAAAATGCATGGGCAGCTTGAAGTGTCACGCCGACTTATGCACCTATGGATCCTCGCCTGGCTTGTCCGAGTTGTGAGAGTGTAAATCGACCCTGAGTCCAGACAGGTCACTTGGAAACGGCATCGAAGGCGCCTGCGGTCCTGGGCGGTGCTGGTACTCCAGAGATGGGCGAGGCAGACGTCCCTGTAAACTCTCAGAATGGCCCTTATGGTAACCCTAAGCCCTTAAAAATCCTCATAGTGGTCCCAAAATAAGGTTCCTACTAGAGTTAGGAGAGGGAATGTTACAAAGGCTGCGATTGTTGTAACCCGCCGTGGTTTTGCGGTTTAGCTTCGCAGTTGTGGCCGCTGGCAGGTGTCCGTCTTCGGGGAATGTCAGGCTATTATACTGTATCCCCTATCTATACATATATATATATATATATGTATATGTATATGTATAGTTATCCCATACTGTCTCCCCCCAGCAGGCCCACTTGAGATGATTATAAGGCCCCTAAACCCTCCACCACCGGGGTTACTCACAGCCTCTGTGTTTGGAGGGCCCCAAGCCCAAAACCCTTGGGGTTTCTCTAAACCGATCACGAACCGACTCGCCAACCCGGGTCCTCCACGAAGGAAGCTGCTGACTCAGCAACGGAAAGTGCCTTTGATGCAGACGGGTAGGGTAAGAAGGGTAGGATATTCGAGTTTTCGGCGAATCTTTCGTGAAGCGGAAGGATATTCGAGTCTGAGAGATCATACAGCTTACACGTACTGGTGCACCAGTCAGGCGAGCCCTTGGCCTTGAGATGCAAGGTCCCAAAACAAGGATGGTTGCCGGTGCGCACGACGTCATCCATGAATAGCCTTTTGACCGTTTCATGTGTGAGACAAGCCGCCCTGGCTTGGAAGTCACGGACAGGTTGGTTGTTTATCTTCTCTAGGTGGCTCCTGCAAAGCCCGAGAATGCAGAAGCAGCGCGCCTTGCCAAGGAGGCTGCCCAGAAAGCTGAAGAGGAGCGTGCCGCAGAGAAAGCGAAGAAGATGGAAGAGGAGCGCTTAGCAAAAGAGGCTGCAGAAGCTGCAGCCAAAGCTGAAGAGGAGCGTGCTGCGAAGGAAGCCGCAGAGAAAGCCGAAGCAGAGAAAGCGACGAAGGCCGAAGAGAAGCGCATAGCAAAAGAGGCTGCAGAAGCTGCAGCGAAAGCTGAAGAGGAGCGCGCCGCCAAGGAAGCTGTAGAGAAAGCGAAGAAGATGGAAGAGGAACGTGTAGCACAAGAGGCTGCAGATGCTGCAGCGAAAGCAGAAGAGGAGCGTGCCGCAAAGGAAGCTGCAGAAGAAGCCGAAGCAGAGAAAGCGAAGAAGATGGAAGAGGAACGTGTAGCACAAGAGGCCGCAGATGCTGCAGCGAAAGCTCAAGAGGAGTGTGCTGCAAAGGAAGCTGCAGAAAAAGCGAAGGAGATGGAAGAGGAACGTGTAGCACAAGAGGCTGCAGAAGCTGCAGCGAAAGCTCAAGAGGAGTGTGCTGCAAAGGAAGCTGCAGAAAAAGCCGAAGCAGAAAAAGCGAAGGAGATGGAAGAGGAACGTGTAGCACAAGAGGCTGCAGAAGCTGCAGCGAAAGCTCAAGAGGAGCGTGCCGCCGAGAAAGCCGAAGCAGAGAAAGCGACGAAGATGGAAGAGGAACGTGTAGCACAAGAGGCTGCAGCGAAAGCTGAAGAAAAGCATGCCGCAAAGGAAGCTGCAGAGAAAGCCGAAGCAGAGAAAGCGACGAAGGCCGAAGAGGAGCGCATAGCAAAAGAGGCTGCAGAAGCTGCAGCGAAAGCTCAAGAGGAGCGTGCCGCCAAGGAAGCTGTAGAGAAAGCCGAAGCAGAGAAAGCGACGAAGGCCGAAGAGGAGCGCATAGCAAAAGAGGCTGCAGAAGCTGCAGCGAAAGCTGAAGAGGAGCATGCCGCCAAGGAGGCTGCAGAGAAAGCCGAAGCACAGAACGCGACGAAGGCCGAAGAGGAGAGCATAGCGAAAGAGGCTGCAGAAGATGCAGGCAAAGCAGAAGCAGAGAAAGCGAAGGAACGCTTAGCAAAAGAGGCTGCGGAAGCCCTGGTGAATGCTGTAGCAAAAGAAGCTGCAGAAGCTGCAGTGAAAGCTGAAGAGCAACGCTTTGCAGATGAGGCTGCAAAAGCTGGGGTTGCCAAGGAAACAGCAGATGCAGCCAAAGCTACGAAACTTGAAGAGGAGTTCCTGGCAAATCAAGCACCCGAAACCGCCGAACCTGAGAACGCCACGGCTGCTGAAGAGCTCAAAGCGCAAGCTGCAGGCGAAGTCGAAGATCAGAACGAAGCAGACGGCCTGGCAAAAGGAGATCAGGCAGATTCCGCCAAAGACGAGCGGGAGTTCCTGGCTGCGGAAGCTAAGCAAGATGAAGAGGAATGCCTGGCAAAAGAGGCCGTGGAAGTCCTTGCGAAAGCGGACTGGGAGCAGCTCGCCAAGGAAGCGACAGATGATGCATCCGCTGAAGCCCAGATTCAGCAACTGCTAGAAGCAGCAGTGGAGGCGGCGCAAGCCAAAAGTCTTGAAGAGCAAGAGGATGCGGCTGACGAGTACAGTGTTAGTCGGCGGACGAGTGGCTACCTACCAGGCGTCGTTCTTGCAAGCCTGCAGCAAAAAGAGGATGCGGCTGGCCTCTCAAAGGCAGACCCTGAAGAAGAGCTGATTTCCAAGACAAAAGAACCGCAGGAGCGACAGATGCCTTTGTCCCAGGTCGTGGCGGACACACCCGATGCAGCACAAGATCAGCAGCCAATTAAGGCCAAGGTAGAGGTGGAGACGGATCGTTTCCCAGAGCGGCAGCGGCAAGCTTGCATGGCAGAGGAGGCTGAGCAGGGTGTCGTTGTGGCGAGGGAGGCGGAGACTGTGCCCACAGAAACCTCAGCGAACGCCGGCGGATCGACAGAAATGCAGCCAGCGGAGCCTAATCCCCGTGGCTTCGAGGAGTTGAGGGCTGAACAGCAGCCCATCCCGGCTGAAGCGGAGGCATGGACTCAGGGTTTACATCTTAGGGGACCCGGCCTGCTTCAAAGGGCTAAAGAGAAGGAGCAAAGTCGGAGCACGAACTCCAAACTCCAAACCTGATGAATTTTGCCTCTCCCTGACAGTTTCCAGTACGGTAGGAATTCGCTCGGATTTCTGCGTGCATTTTCTAGTGGTTTAGGCCCAGTTTAGGCTTTAGGTTTCTTCTGCCCGGCTCCAGGGGGAAGCCTGGCGTGAAAGCTGACTTGAAAAGCCTGGGTTGAAAAGGTTTTTTCCTAATATAGAAGCCTAAATAACTGCCCATATTATTTTGGGGGCTCCTTATTATGATTATAGTATTGCATACCCCCAAACTCTATTCTCTACTGAGGTTATTTCCCGCAATTTGACAGTGCTGTCTAGTGCCAGCACGTCCTGGAAGCATGCAGGCGCGGCTGCTGGTCGAAAACACGTCTGTGGAGAGCTGCGACGAGAAGGACGATTGGTTACGATATGCAGATTTTGATATAATGCTCGTATGGGTTTATACTTTTACTATATGCTTTACTATGTACTATATACAATATATACTCTACTAGATTATATATATATATATAATATATATTATATATATATATATATCTACTATATAATGTGTGTGTGTGTATATATATATATATATATTATAAGCAAAGCAGCCGTCCGAGCTGCGAAGCCGCTGGCATGGGCCGAACATGCAATGTGGGTTAGAAACGATACGTAACGGTTGTAGTTTAGGGTTTGACTTCCCGGCTGATGATCAGATGGGTTCAAAAGGATTTAGGGTTTGGGAGATTGTTTCGATTTCGCCGAGCACACCACATGTACCCCACTTGCACGAAGCAAACAAAATTTAATTCTACATACTTCGCTGGAAACCTGTAGATGGAAATGGCTACGGCTCAGAGCTGGATCAGGAGTGTCGCCCATTGTCGCCTCGTGTAGACTTCCTGTCAGCCATGGGCTGCTCTGCCGGCGCACCTATTCAGGACAAGGTGAAGCTTGAAGCGCTCCAAAACATGCAAGCCCGGTTCCCGCTCCGCCGACCCGCGCTGCCTGGAGACATCTTGCTCAGTGGCAACTTGCCCTCCGACGTGGTGGGACAGCTCGCGAGCCACTGCAGGGGATGGCTGTATTTGAATGAGACCTCGGATGAGCATTACTTCCCTGCACCCATCCAGGCAGCAGGCTGTGAGCTGGAGGTCGTCCCCTTCAAGCCAAGCAAAGACCTGCCAGCCAGCGTCGTTGAGGAGTTAGCTAGCTGCATTGCCCGAATGCCTCGTCCTTTGATGATCCAGTGCACCAGCGCCAACCGAGCTGCTATCGCCATGCTCGCATGGATGGCGAAGATGCATGGCTATACGCCAGGCTGCATAGACCTGTTGGTCGCAGATCTCCAGATCGACACCGTGAGACCCGAGGCCAAAGCTTGGCTCCAGTCGAGGTTGCCCTCGCTGGGGCAAAGGGATGGTCCACTGATTCAGCACAGCCCTGAGGTGAGGCAGTTCTTTGACCCCGTGTCCAGCACCTTGACGTACCTAATTGCCTGTCCAGCCACCAAGCAAGCTGTGCTGATCGATCCAGTCTTGGAGCACAAGGATCGTGATCTGAAAGCCATCACGGAGCTGGGCTTGAACTTGAAGTACGTGCTGAACACGCACTGCCACGCAGACCATGTGACTTCCGGTGGTGCGATCCGAAAGGACTTCCCACAGGTTCAGACCATCATCTCCAAGAACTCTGGGGCACAAGCCGCTATCCACGTGCAGCACGGGGAGAAGGTGGCTTTCGGCGAACTTTCCCTGGAGGTTCGTGCTACTCCGGGCCATACCGATGGCTGCGTGACGTATGTGTTGAAGACCCACACGGCCACGTTTGCCTTCACCGGTGACACTCTTCTGATTCGTGGCTGTGGCAGGACAGACTTCCAGCAAGGCAACTCCTTAACTCTCCATGACAGCGTTCACACGCAGGTTTTCACCCTTCCAGATGATGCCCTCGTCTGTCCAGGCCATGATTACAAGGACAGAGGAGTGTCGACGGTGCTTCAAGAGAAGATGTTCAACCCTCGCCTGACGAAGTCCCCAGAGGATTTTGCCAAGTTCATGGAGGACCTAAACCTGCCGAACCCGAAGCAGATTGACATCGCGGTGCCAGCTAATATGGCCTGCGGTGTGCAGTTCGACCCATCTGAGAACCTCCCGATCTAGGGTTCAGGGCAAGGTCGGGCAGTCGGCTCGACTCCGGCACAGAGAGCTGCTTGAGTTGACTATGCCCGCTGCGATCATAACTTAACACCGCTTCTGCCGCAGTGCAGAGAGCTTTTCTTTGCATATGGTACTTGAGGTACCCTGTGTGTATATTGTGGTTCGAACAGGTCCTCTCTTCACACTCCCGTTTGTGATAGCACAATGGTCTTTCGTCGTCCTGGCTTCCATCACAGCATGGACAGCCAAGACTCAGATGGATTCTGTACTTAAAGTACAGAGTGGCGCCTCGTGCTCACCTTGACGATCGGCAGTGCATAAAAAGTCAGAAGACAAGTTGCCACAGTCCCATGCCGCAGATGCCTTCCTGGTTTGAGTTTTGAGACACGACGTACAAGAGATTTGCATTGGCTCCTGGTAAAAATCCTGCTGAACAGAATCCTGCTGCTTAGGGTCCTCTCTTTGTCTCTCTCGGTCTCTCTCTCTCTCTCTTTCCCTCTCCCTCTCCCTCTCTCTCTCTCTACCTGTCTCCTATCCATCTGAATATCTTGCAGTCTTACAGATGATGTGTACTCTGCACATCCTGTCAACCATGTGACCCCTCTGCGCATGTGAAGAAATACCTCTGTGTCCTGCAGGAGCCACTTGCAGAGCCCAGTGCAGCAGACGAGCATCCTGGCTTTCTGTTGGCCAACATAAAGCTTCCCTTTGGAATTCGGGCTATTACCGTTGTTATGTTTGTTGTTTTTCCATGAAACTTTGGACTTCGGGCACTTGGAGCTTCAACAGGTCTGCCCGTGCGCCGCTACCAAGGACTACGCAAAGACCGGAAGCTTTGGAGAAGGCGCCAGGGATGGAAATCCCGATGCCGCAAATCCTCATGGGCTCTTGCCTTACATGTCAGTTTGGATGCAGGTACAAAGCCCCAGCTTCGAAGAGTTTGCAAGTTTCAGTTCAGGGTCTGGCCTCACTACTGTACAGACTACCGAGACTGAAGCCTGAATCTTTGTTTAGGGTTTAGGGTTTAGGTTTAGGGTTTAGTAGAGTTATGCATTATTATTCCTGAGTTCCGTAATGAATGGTAGCTGCAGTATATAGCAGAGCCCTATTGCAATTACACAGGCCCCGAAACTAAACCACATAATACCCCTTAGTAGCTGTAGTAATCCCGGACAGAAGCCCTTCAAAGGAACCCCTTAGCCAACGAAGTTCCTGGGCTTTCCTGAATTTGGAGGGAGGCTGCATACTAGAAGGCAAAAACGGTTAAGGGTTCAGGGGTTTAGCTTTTAGGCTTTGTGATTGTACCGTTTTACTAATTTTTTGCATTGTGGAAGTCAGTGTTCAGGCGATTGCACAAGTCCTGATGCAAAAAAGCGTTTAGGATACAGTTTTTTTGTTTAGTAAGGGCTGCGATAATCATACGGGTGCAAGTCTTTTTGGGCTCGAAGGCTCTACAAGGCTTGCTATACGGGATCTATAAGGGTTAAGTACAGAAGAGCTTCAGAGAATAAGGGGGCCAGTATCCAAACAGCCGAAGCCCTATGATGAAAAGCCCACAGTGGGGGCCCGGTGTTTGGTAAAGCCAGGGTATACGCTTGCGTGCTCAACAGGCGATCGACAAAGAGGTCGATCGGATCAGCGGCTTGCTTGCGATTGATTGGGCTGGAGTATTGGAAGGTCAGGCCCCGTTTGCTTGTTTTTTTTTCATGGCTTCGAGCATGTCCCTACTACTGCAACTGCAGCTACTGCTCCTCCTGCTGCGCCTTCCTACTCAGTCGCACTGCTCCTGCTCTAGCTGATGGTCCGGCTCCTGCGTTTCTTCTTCCCCTGCTGACATCAGCAGTGCGGCTGCCACGACCACGACCACAACAACGACAACCATGCAACTAACAGTGTTACAGTATCCTAAATCTCGATTCTAGCCCAAAGAGACATATCCACACCTCCTTTGCAATGCCGTGCCTGAGTATTCACGAAGCCCATCTAAGCCCTGTAGAAGCCTCTGATTCCCTAATCCGTAAACCCTTATCAGCTTTCGAGATTTTGCAGATCTTTCAGCCTCAGCTCAGGTGTGCGCACGGACGATGCTTCCACAGAGGCCCGCCGGACCTCGGCCAAGCGATCTTCCAGAATATAAATGTTGACCTCAATATAATGTCATCCCATAGGGTGGCACTATCAGTATCATGAAACTTAACCCCGTTTAGGGTTTAGGGACTTAACCCAGGCAAGATGACATTTGGTTTGAGCTGACTCACACCCTAAACCTGCTCGAGCTGCGAAGGTTCGCTTGCAAACTTCATTTCCTTGCCTAGGGTCCAGGTGTCAGGGTTAAGTTAAGGGCCAGGGGTTGATGTTTAGGATTACATCACAACCCTAAACTAAACCTGACCGATAAACCCGTCCATGCAGAAGACAAAATAGATTCGAGCAGCTGGGCTACTCGTCGGCCTCAGTACGGGTTAAGAAAAAAGGTTACTTGGACCCTCGGGGGCTGTCAAAATCCATGGCCATGGCGCTCCTTTCTTTTACGCTTCACGCCGCGGCCTCGAGCTTTTGCTTGGGCCATCGCTTGATGCCACACCATGCGACTGAAGCGAAGACCGAAGAAGCAGACGGAAATCCTCTCCGGTGGCTCATGGAACAAATTTTTGACCCTGGTCCCACGACCCACCACCAGAGGGCCAAGCCCGACAACGCCGGCAAACTGCGGAGTCTTGCCCAAGGGGATTTCGACGCCCTACATCAGCTGGATGTTTACGAGAAGGCTTACTGGAAAGGCAGGCTCAACTTGAACAGGAGAGGTGGGCAGTCGATCTCTGAGCAGACGCGAAGGGGTCATGAGCCACTCTGATGAGAACGACGAGTGGTGGGACTTCAAGACTTTGTCGTCAAACCGGCGTGCTTGGTACGCAGATTGGCAGTGGGACCAGTCCATCAATTTCACTGGTGAACACGGGCAGGATTCAGGAGGTTTGCGAAAAGAGTGGATACAGCTGAACTTGCAGTCCGTTGTGGCAGAGGAGAAGCCCAGCCAGGAGGCCTTGGAATGTTTGAAATGCAACAAGTGTGCCAACAGCAGTACGCCCCAGATGTTGCTAGAGCCTCTCGTTTCGGGTGAGCTCATTCCCATCCTAGACTACGAACAAGCTACGGATGCCGAGCTTGCAGGAGGGCAAGGTGAGGGTGAGCCTGGAAAAGCAGGAAGCTTCTACTTCCTTGGGCAGTGGATTGCAAGGGCCTATATTATCAGTGGCATGGGCTACAGCCCAGCAGGCTTTCACAGCATTATCTATGAAAGCATCTGGCACGGTAAAACTGCTGTGCCGCATCCTGCACCCGACGCCTACGCAGACGAAGACTTGATCCGTGAGTGCGAATGGATTGCCGGGATATACGGCCACCGCCGGCAACAGGAGTTGCACACTTACGGATGGCAGAGTTGCGACGAGATCGTCGATCCCGATTCCGGACGGTACACAGATCAAGGTTGAAGATTGTCGAAGGGAGTTCGGAGGTGGATTTGGAGAAGTTGCTTTCCACCGCCCTTTGGGGGCCTGGCTGGACATCGGAGCAGAAGCAGTTCTTTACTGATGCCCTCTACCGCCTGAAGGGTACCGGACGAGGCCTCCCGCCGATGCAGAATCCGCTTAACAAGCTTCTCCGCTTCTTCACCGGATCCTTCAAGGAGCCTGTGATCGGATTTGGCACAACGATTCTTTCAGAAGTGGTTTTCCTTCTTGAGGAGCCGAAACAAGATGTCAAGAATCGACAAGGCAACGCCACCCTACGATGCACACCCCTGACCGGGCACACTTGCTTCAATCAGCTGAGCATTCCTTTGGGCTGCTTGAGGAATCCGGTTGAGCTCGATAGGATGATTCATGAGAGCATTGCCGTGGAGGGCTATTCGCTGGACTGAGAAAGACGACGAAAATTGTCAAAGCTGGTAGGGTTGTGGGCATCATTATGTTAATCTGAATCTTTGTCATGGTCTAGTGACTAGTGCATGGGAACTTGCAGGCTCAACTCTGCAGTGACGTTGTGAAGCCTTGTCTGCATGGGGCTAGTGTAAGAGTCGAAATCGCGCGCGAACCGCTTCACGGTCCCCCGTGTCCCTGCATCAAAACAAAAAGTTATCTGCAGGGATAAACCAGCATGCCTGCCGGGTTTCGGGATGCACCCACAACGAACACTGCCAGCCATCACCGTTTTCATCATCACCATCATTCTCATGATCACTACAGCCATGAAGCCTTGTTGATATTGAAGGAGGTGGCTGAAGCTGAAGAAGCTACTGAGCCCCAGTACAAGCCTTGAATAGGACACAAATTGCATCGGAGGATCGTGCTTATAACCACTACTGGTTTGGCACCGAACAGTTCTGAGAAACCCTGGTTAGTTGACTCCTCCGGTAACCCGCCGTAGGCTTAACATCCAGCTCAAAAAAAGGATTTGTGCGGCCAGGACGAAGGTGAGGCGTTGCTGCTGCCGGAATGTGAAGCCTGGAGTTGCACTTCGTCCCGCACAGTATGTATGTATATATTATATTATATTATATTATATTATATTATATTATATTATATTATATTATTTTATATTGTATTATATTATATTATATTATATTATATTATATTATATTATATTATATTATATTATATTATATTATATTATGTTATATTATGATATTATTATATTTTATTATATTATTATATATATATATATATATGGTTGCGCACTTTCTTAATGTCGTTTATGCATGTCAGGACGTACGTACATACATACATACATACATACATACATGCGTAAATGCAGATATGCAGGCATGCAGACATACATACACACAGACATACAGACATGCCTGCATACCTACCTACCTACCTACCTACCTACCTACCTACCTACATACATACATAAGTACACATACATACATAAACATGTATGTATTCATATACATATATATATATATACATAGATTTATTTAGGTATGTTTGCATGTATGTATCTATGTATGTATGTATGTATGTATGCATGTTTGCATGTATGTATGTATGTATGTATGTATGTATGTATATACACATGATGTCGTGTACCTGTCTATCGGTCTGGCTGTCTAACCTTCTATCTATCTTTTTGTCCGTCCGTCCATCCGTCCGTCCGTCCGTCCGTCCGTCTGTCTGTCTGTCTATCCGTCTATCCGTCTATCTATCTAGCTCTTTAGCTATCTATCGGTCTGTTTGTCTGTCTGTCTGTCTGTCTGTCTGTCCTGGCGGCTTTAAAAGTTAAGGTACAGAGGAGCCATATGCGTTGGAACTCTTGGAATCTGAGGCGCGCAGTGCGGCTTGATCAACGAGGTCTGTCCAGATATTTGCGCTTCTTGGCAAACAAACGGAGACAAGTAGGTTAATCAGTTGCGATCCATCAGCCTAGTTTCCAGTATCACTAGTCACTAGCCGAAGATGTTGCTGTCGTACTGCTTCCAGTGGCGCGATGACAGGAATAGTCACTAGTGAGTCTTCAGGCAGTCAGACCTGAAGCAGGAGGTTGAGGTATTGCTGCTTTTGCATGTCAGACCAACCAGCCTTCATCAACACCCAAACCCGAACAGAATCTCTGACCAAACAGCCTCAGACCCTACGGACAGTTGACGATCTCCGGCCGAAAAATCCGAATTCAAGTCTACAGCTGGGCCCAAGGGCTCTTGCAGCTGCGAGTCAAGCTGTCAGAGCATGGTTGGATAGGAGGCAGTGCTTATGATTTTACGCCTGTGTCTGCACTGTCACTCTCTCAACACCCCGAAATCCCGGCACGCATGTTTGATGTTCTTCATAAGCCACCTGACCCCATAGGATTGCAAGCTTGAGCTGCAGCCAAAGGGTACGCGGACCATGGCCACGTCGTATATATAAGTTGGGAACTCTTACGAGAAAGGACCTTACACGAAGCACAGCCCCGCACAAAGATCCTTTCAAAGGTGCTATGCGAGGCCTGGCCGAGTGTGACGAGTGATGTTATATTATAGTGGCCTTAGGTGCACAGAGTGCAAGCAAATATTCTCAATAGTGGTTGCTATCTTCGAATACTTACATTTAAGGAACCCTATGTACGGGTTCCGACCGCCTCGATTAGGGTCTATCAGTGAGCTGTTGTCCCGGGTTTGAGTTTTCAGATCCGCTCGGCTTCGTCATCGGTGTTGTTTGTTTGGTTAACGACTGGTGAGTCAGAGGTACCCTAAGCCAAAATCCTAACATCCTTAACCCTAGATTCTAGACGAAGTTGCCCGAACTCGGCTGGCCCGGTTTCCTTGCGGGGAGACAATTCTGCGAAGTTTTTGGGTTGATCTGTGTTTGGACCTACTGATCGAGGTCCCTCCTGCGATCGGGGTACCCACGAAAAGTAAACTAAGGTAAACTATATTGTACTATATTGGGAGCTGACTATAGCATACTGTAGTATACACTCGTAGTTTATGATTACGACAGATTTTCCAGCGTAGGCTGTAGAATGGGGAATTGTTGATTGGGGTTTGGTTATATGCATGACCTCCCTCAACTTCTTGGCAGCCCTGGAACCTGCAGTATGCTAATGTGCCTCGCAGGTAGAACCTGAAGTGGGGCGCAGTGTGTTTCTTCAATATTGTCATTTACATATTAAAGTCACTCTTCTGGCTTTTTCTCGCGCAGAGTCAGCACCCTCATTGTGGCTCACATACACCGTTTTGAACCAACTTCGCGCGGTGACAGCAGGGTATGCTCATGCTTGGAGAGTTGCGCGTCGGCATTTTGATTATGGCCTTTGCCCCCTCTGCGCACCTGTGCATCTCTTTGTTAGATAGACTTCGCGCGAAAGCCTTGCCCTCCTTCTGCGAGTGTGAGAGGCGAATCTGCCTAAATCGTAAAAAAATCCCTCCGGTCATATTCCTAGGTGCTGGGCATGCCTACAGGTGCCCGAACCCAGAACCCTTCAGGCTTGTCCCAGTTGTGAGTGCTGAAAAGGAAAGCCAAGGTCCTACAGCCCTGGTAGTTGAACCCAACACTGCTCTACACACTAAACCCAAAACCCTATGAAGCCTAAGCCCCTGAAGCCCTTGCTGCCTGAACCGCGCACCCTGTAAACTTATAAACCCTTCTCACCTTTTCCCCCCTTAAGACTCGAAGCCCCTAAACTCTTTGAGCCTGAAGCCCCCAACCCCTAAACCC